GTATATTACTATGTATATCTGTGCATGTAACTATATATATATTTGTATATATTACTATATATATATATATATATTTGTGTATATTACTATGTATATTTGTGCATATAACTATATATATATACTTGTATATATTACTATATATATATATATATTTGTGTATGTTACTATATATATATATATATGTTTTTCTAGCTTAGAAAAGTAAATTGTTGATTTTTATCTCCACCTTACGAACGTAGACTTGCTTGAACAACCCGTGCGGCTATCAGAGTAGACAGGTATTTTGTAGTCTACCAAATGGAGGATGTGATCCGAGCGAAAAACCACTTTCTCGTAGAAAATGTAGCAACAAAACGTGTGGGGTTTGGATCACAGGAAAGTGGTCTCAGGTAACTTATCGATATTTAAGCTTGTTATAAACTCAGGTAACTTATCGATATCTAATCTTGTTATATATTCAGGTAACTTATCGATATCTAATGTTGTTATATATTCAAGTAACTTATCAATATCTAATCTTGTTATAAACTCGGATAACTTATCGATATCTAATCCTGTTATATATTCAGGTAGCTTATCGATATCTAATACTGTTATAAACTCAGGTAACTTATCGATATCTAATCTTGTTATATATTCAGGTAACTTATCGATATCTAATTTGTTATATATTCAGGTAACTTATCGATATCTAATGTTGTTATATATTCAAGTAACTTATCAATATCTTATCTTGTTACAAACAATGAATTTATCTATATGTAATCCTGTTACAAACTCAGGTAACTTATCGATATCTAATCTTGTTATAAACTCAGATAACTTGTCCTTATTTAATATTGTTACACACACTGTATTTATCGATATCTAATCTTGTTATATATTCAGGTAACTTATCGGTATTTAATCTTGTTATATACTCGGGTAACTTGTCAATATTTAATATTGTTTCATACACTGAATTTATCGATATGTAATATTGTTATAAACTCTTGTATTTTATCGATATCTAATCTTGTTATATACTCAGGTAATTTATAGATATCTAATCTTGTTATATATTCAGGTAACTTATCGGTATCTAATCTTGTTAAATCTCATTGTCCAAGAAATCTCCTCTACACCTAACAGAGTTTTGTTTGATAAATCTTTGCTACATCTCTAAGAGTATAAATAAATACATATATATATATATAAAGGAAATGAAATCAATAAGCTAATTATTTACTTAATTTTCGAAAACACATTTTCATCATTTCAACATTTGATGTATGAAAAGTTTAAATGCAGGTTAACCTTAGAGAAATGACATATGATATACATAATCCGAAATATTAAAAACTAGTTATATAAAAGTTACATAGAGTAATCGGCTCAAATTCCAAAGTTGGGCTTAGCAAGGAGAACGTTAAACCCGATATAAAACACTGACTCTATGGACTCCTCGGCAGATGATTCAGAATGTCTAATTCAGTGTTTATAACAATAATACATATTAATAAATTCAGTGTATGTATAAAGATAAGATATCGATAAAATGCATGAGTTTATAACACGATTACATTTCGATAAATTATGACATTTATTTTAACTATTAACGTAGCTTCAGTTGTCTCATGAGTCACTGTTACCGAAATTTATTTTAATTATTAACGTAGCTTCAGCTGTCTCATGAGTCACTGTTACCGACAATTATTTTAACTATTAACGTAGCTTCAGCTGTCTCATGAGTCACTGTTACCGACATTTATTTTAACTATTGACGTAGCTTCAGTTGTCTCATGAATCACTGTTACCGAAATTTATTTTAATTATTAACATAGTTTCAGCTGTCTCATGAATCACTGTTACCGAAATTTATTTTAATTATTAACGTAGCTTCAGCTGTCTCATGAATCACTATTACCGACATTTATCTTAATTATTAACATAGCTTCAGCTGCCTCATGCGTTAATGTTACCGATATGAATTATTTATGAAAAAGTTATGTCAGTAATGAACAACCGCACTTACTGTTCTTTTACATAGTGTTCTGTCACCTGTGGAGAAGGAATTCAGTTCCGTAAAGTGAAATGTAGAGGAGGGGTTTGTTCTCAAAGTGTGAAACCTCCTTCCTCAAAAAAATGCTTCTGGTATGCTTGTAATCTGTGGGCAGTTAACAAAGTCGATACATCAACTGATCACCCAGATAATGACCAAAGTTACACAGAGCCAAATTCAATTCTGGAAGATAACAAAATACATAAACATAGGCATCATCACGGTAACAATGTGTTCAAGAAAAGCCGTCGTTTGAAAAATAACTTCGGTCGGATGAATGAAGGTGATTGGGTAACATCAAGCAGCTTGCAACGCGTTGTGAAAGACTCAAATAAGTTTGAATATCCAGAACCTGGAACATCTGCAGAACCTTCTCCTAATCATGTTGTATTTCAAACAGAAACCCCTCCAGACATGACACCTGAATCAAAAACTGATCATTGGAGGACAGGAGACTGGTCCCAGGTAATAAACTAGATATTTACTTTTAATATATCTACACTGGTCCCAGGTAATAAACTAGATATTTACTTTTAATTTATATACACTGGTCCCAGGTAATAAACTAGATATTTACTTTTAATATATATACATTGGTCCCAGGTAATAAACTAG